TAACAGGGGAACCGAACCCTTAGTAGGTTTTGAAAGTACCAACAGTAGGGGAGGAAGGGGTTGGCCTTGACATCAAGGAGTTGACAGCTAGGGAGGTTGATAAGGTAGTCGAAGAAGAGAAAAAATACCAGGAGGAAGCTGTAACTCCGAGGATGATGCACCGTGCGAGAATAGTTAGGAAGCAAGAGAAAATAGAATCCAGTGTGGGGGCGTAAAAGGGCCTGTGACGAACAGGTAGCACGAAGAAGGCGAGCTATCTATGGAAAGTGGGTGGGGTGTGTAAAGACTAACTATTACCGCAGGAGAAATATGACGACAGACCCGACTTCATTCCAGTTTGATACGGGAACTGCTGTACCCGTGACGCTCAACAAGGCGCGTGTAGGAGTCGTGGGAGAATGCTCGGAGCGTAAGGGAGAACAATCACTGAGTGATGTTAGGAACCACCCATCGACACACAGAACCGGAGTTAAAATTTGGCGTCGAACACGTGAAGGTAATTGTTCACAGGAACACGGGGGTTCAACGAACGGCAATCCACCGATGGTTGTGTTTTCACTGTGCGTTAAAGCCACAGTTCATGAAAGGAAAAAGTTGCCCGGCAGTGTTTTAAAATTCAATTATTGTAATTGTAAAAATCTTTGCAATATATTATTTTTCCTTTTGTTATTGACAATTTAAATTCCTTATTCAATAAGTCCACACCAATCATATTAATTCCTGTAGTGACTGCCACCGGGGGAAGGTTTATCTATTTTTTTAAAAATTTACACCACAAGTTTTAATATTTTTTTTAAGTTTTAAATTAGAAAGCCACTATTTTCATAGAATATTGCTTAATTTTTTAGTATTACCCGAATTCCTTCGTAAGAGATAAAAAAATATGTAATCCGTGAATGCACCCGAAATTTCGCAAGAAAAACACTTTTGATGGGTTTTGGTAAAAAAGGGCGATATCTGTTGCTAAATTTAGAAAAAAAATATTTAAACTCGTGGTAAGACACCAGAATTCCACATGTTTTTTGATTTTTGATTAACCCGCAAAAATAGATGACGAATATGAGCATGTATGTCAATTCGCAATGTGGTAAACCTTGCGTTTAGATGTGTTATTTTAAAGTTTGATTTTCACCCAATCAATAAACAATTTTATTATTGGTGGGATCCTTTAATTGTTCCAACATATATTTAACAAAATGCAACACAAATGTTTTTATTTAATTATGTTGTTACACCAATAGTGAAAAAGAAGTTTAAGAGAATTGGTCAGGAGTATATTAACGATTGATATCCACCCACGATTTATTCCACGAAAATAAACATAGTAGTTTTTAAAGTAAAATTAAACGGATAGAGATATGATTAGAAAAACACGTGTACAAAATCTAAATATTTAGAAGAAGGTCATGTAAAATTTTTGAAATGTTAGTAGTTTTTTTATAATAAAGGTTTGAAATTTTTACAAACAAATTTAAAATTTCATAACTTTTTTCTTAAATTTTTATACATATATGTATTAGGCGAGATAAGAATTAAAGAGCTCGAAAGGGCTACATAGATATTTGAAGCAAGTGAAAATTTGCTATAGTTCAATCACAAGTTGAGAGGAAAAATGTATTGTGGACTGTTTTGTATGTGTGTACCAGATATTACAGCCAGAATTTATATGCGACACCGCCCGGCGCCCACACCGCCCGCCCCGCCCCCGACGAGGAGGAGGAGGAGGCGGCGCCCGTCGCCACCGCGCACCCAGGCCACAGCTGGCGGACGGAGGAGCGAGGATACTGGGCCGCGCCGGGCTGGAACGGCAGCTACTACAAGGTAGCGGACAGCTTTGCAACGCACTCTTACTGACGCCCGTTATCCTACCTGTTTATAATACGCTTGGTGTGCCTCATGGTGGAAAGATATGGGTGAGTTACTTCGGCGCCTCGATTTGTTGGTCGTTCTGCGCAGCACACAGTATACAGTTTGCACACAGACACCCCAAAAAACTATGTTCGTGTCTGGGGTTTAGGCCATGTTTTCTATATGTTTTTGAGGTAGCTAAATGCAAATCCGGTGTTCATTTTACTCCATCACATCAGGTTTTTTACATTATCTCAAATATATAAAAAAATAAAGATATTTTTTCCAAAGGGTCAGACCATGTTACCTATATGTTTTTGGGATCGCTGAAACCAAATCTGAACTTCATTTAATTCCCTCTCATCATGTTTTGTAATTTATATCTGTTATAATTGATCAAGCGGTATTGGCCCCCTGACGGGCCACATTCATAACGTTGTTGTAAGGCAAATTGCCTATATCGGTGGCGCTAGATCACTAACCTTCTCTGCAAACAGACAGGTGTTTACACTTTTTTGAGGCTTTATGAAAAATTTGATGTGATGAAGTTAGATGAACTTTAGATTTGGTTTCAGCTACCCCAAAAACATGTAGATAACATGGTCTGACCCCTCGGTTAGAAATATCTTCTTTTTTTTAAATATCTTTGACGTCATTTCAAAAACCTGATTTGGTGGAGTAAAATGGACACCAGATTTGAAATTAGCGCCCCCCGAAACGATTAGAAAACATATTCTGATCCCCATATACGAATACAATTGTTTTGTGGATGTGTTATACGCTCTATTTATAATACGGTTGTTATACATCATGGAAAAAAATGGGTGTCTTACTCCGGCGCATCGGTTTTTGCTCGTTCTGCTCAGCCCCAATTTTTGTCACGTGATCACAGCACGGGCACTTCACTTGAAAAGCCAGACCAACGCTGGTTGCCATGTTGCATGGGGAGGGAGAAGTGTTGAGAAAAGCTTTGAAAGAGGTACAAAGTAACAATTTTCAACGGTAACCATCCGAAAATAAAAGAGTACAAGATATAATATTTAAAAAAACTGCTTCAATAAAAAATTTCAATCTCTTGAAACTAGGTGTCAATAGTCATATCTATCTGCATTTAAAATTCCCGCTAATATTGTGAAACAATCTGGTGTCTGAAGCTCATTGTCAGCAGTCAGATGAAGACGACACAAAACTTAGTCACTGTGCTCGTGCTGGATATTGAATTATTCCCGAGACCTGAATCTAACATATTAAAGATGAAAATTAAATATTGCAGTTTGCAGACGCATTAGGGGGAGTGATCGGTAAATTATCGATAAATATTGTAAACAACCATATTGAAAAGCAGAAACATATGCACATCACCGCAGCCATCAACGATTATCGCGTTGGCACAAGAAAATTAATGGTTGTTGTTAGAAAGTTCTATCAGAAAATATGGCCATACTCACGTGACCTTCAATATTTCTAGAAGAATTAAAATTTGTTGGAAAGTAAGTTCTTAGGCAAATCATTTAATACCAATTGCGGGTAATTATCAAGTTTCTACAAACGTTTATGAGTAGTTGTAATAAAAATGTGCTTGTAGGGTACATCAATGGGTCAATGGCAGGGTCAATGATTCTCATTATCATTAATTGGATTGTTGGTGAAGTAGATACCTTTTTTTTATTTTGATAAATAAATAGAGATATTGT